TGTGATGTGTCTCTGTCTGCAGTTTCTACAGCTTGTTTCATTGTCTCCCGGGGACTTAACAAACAGACATTATGAATGTGTGTTAGATACAAGTATTTTTACATGTCATTTTAAAAAAATGTATATCTCTGTTTTTTTGGAAAAATGAGAAATGTTTGTCCTCTTTGATGTGAATGTAAAAAGTCCCCCAGTAGACGAGAAGCAGCGTTTCCTTCTTAGGAGATGATGTTATCAGCATGATTCCCTAACTTTGAGAGGAGACGAGGAAGCAGGAGCGTGGAGGTGTGAGGTGGAGTTTCTTTTTACACCATGTAGTATTGTGGATCGTGAGGCACGCCCCTGACCAGTGTGCTCATGGAGGGAATCATTGCTGCATGCTCCGGCTTTACCAGAGACTGCTTACACCCTCAAGCATTTGGTGCTGTGATTTCTATTAAAGTTTCTATTTGTACTTGTAACACTCTTTCTTAAGACCATTTATGTGGGAGTCTTTAGTTGCCCAAGGAAAGAAAAAAAAAAATAATACATTGTGGATTTCAGTTAGGAGATATTTAGTTTCCCAGAAGATTTCAAGAAGTGATGAAAAAGACAAATGACAGGTGCAGCCTGCCTGTTGCCCATTTTGACTTAGGTTGTGTGTATGCAAGAGGCCCCGAGCTGCACTGCCGGCCTGACCTGGCTTTCCAACTCTGTGAATGCAAACTTCCTTGAGCTTATATTCTGCTCTTCAACCACTGCAGCCTCGGGTCTCACCAGGGCCTTCCCCTGAACTCACAGCAAATGTTTCAAAGTAATTCCTCACTACATTGTGGAAAAAATGACTAATCCCATAACCAGTGTTCAGTGTGACACTTCTTAGCAATGAAAACCAAATTAACTAAATTTGTTCTGTGACATAAATCCACTACATGTCCCATTACCAATGCCCTGAACCAAGGCCAAAATTCCTGACATGTGCCACAAGTTGTGGGAGTGAGCTTGGGTATTAAAATAAATACAGTGAGTTACTAGAAATTTTGACTCTGTGTGTGAAAAATGTTTTAAAGCCAGAGATGATATGTCATTGACATACTGTATGATTCGTATAAAAGTGAAAGGAAGGTAATAGAAAAGCTGGCACTTTCCAGCAATTATTAATAATAAAATATTTACTGATCCTAATTCTATTTTAACTAACCTTCTTAAGAAGTTATGTTTGTGCTTCCATTTGCAAAGCAGAGATCCAAGGGGACTTACGTTCTCATGAGCTGTGTGTTATCCGCTCGCTGTGGGTCGCTCACTCCGGCACAGATGCTCTGAGGCGTCTGATGGAAGTCTTCAGTTTTGCACTTGGCAGATCCCTCTCACCCTGTGTCTGCCACAGCCAGATGAAAAGCAGCAGAACAGAATCAGATACACCTGTAAAACAGAAAGACAACATTTAGTTTAAAAGCAATTTCACAAATATTAAAGCTTTTTCTCTTTTATTTTTGAGGTTTCTATTAACAAATAAATGAGGTGACTTCAGTCCCCCTTTTTTATGCTGCATCTTAATATAAAAAATCAACTTCATATCTAATTAGGGGGACTGCACATTTTCCATATTTGTTTTATGTTACTGCTTTAACATTGCTTGGCAGATGACATCAGAACCTTAAAAATAAAATCCAGGAAGAGAAAATGCACAGAAAATACCTTGATAGAAATTATTTGAATTTAAAAGTGTGAAGTAAATATTAACTAAGTTTTGTGTCTATAAGAATAATTGATCAAAATCTAGTGGTTTGTGCTTGTCTAAGGGTACAGAAAGGCAAAGAAATTACTGTCAGTTTGAAAAAGTTTGATAGATGGGAGCTAATTTCTTAATATTAACCTGAACATCTGCGCACTAAGCACTTTGAATATTAAATTGAAGCCTCTAGTCCTACAATTAAATTCATTGAAATATGCTTTAATAAATTAATTGAAATTATAATTGCATGACTAACTTTTTTCCAGTTTGTGAGAGATTTGTCATCAAATTGGAGTTACAGAACCTGTCCAGGAACACAATAAAATTGATTTTAGTGTGACTGTTTTACAATAGGCTAATGTTCAGTTTGCGTATTCTGAAAAGTCCAAAGCTGTGTGTTTTCTCTGACAAATTTGAGTTTGAATTATTTGGATCATTTTCTGATGTGAGCCATAAAAACAGATAGCATGCATGCTTAAATGTGCTTTTTTGCATTCCTACAAGCAGTTTGGTTGAAAAAATAAAATTTAACATCCTTTAATTTGTCATGTGGAATCTGATTCTTTTATCACCTCCATATATTTATCTAAGTGAAACATAAAATGGTTGGAATAATGGAGAATTTAAAGTAGCTTTTGCACATGAGCAGTCATGCTAACTAATATGGTGAATAAAGGCTGGATGTAAATTCTCCGAGTTCTGTTTCTCGTGCTGTATTTGGTAAAGTGAGTAGACCCTGGCTAACAGAGATAATCTCCATGTTATCCTGACGAAGTAATGAAGAACTTTAATGGGAAGAATACAAAACAAAAGAAAACAGACAAACAAAGTGGAAATAATCATTTGTATGTAATCCAAAGCATGTATATTTATTTCATTTTCAGATTGCCATGCAATATGCATGAGATCACAGAAATTGTCAGAATATAAAGCTCCTGCCCTCTTGTGCTGCAGAATGCTCCAATATTCGCAGGCACACATCCAGAGGGCACACAGATATGGCCAGTACTAGTGTAACCCCGTACAAGCACTCAGTGTTTCTCAAAGGGAGTCACTTCCCTGTCTCACTTGCCTTCTGGGCCAGACCCTCCATGGTATTCCATCTGGTCTAATCCAGTAGCACACCGCCAGCATTTCCACATGACCAAGCCCCTCCTCCTTTTACATTTATACTCAATTTCTTTGCCCATAAAACAAATGTAACCTTGCCCCTGTTCTGATCATAAATGCCCTTCTGCTTCATACAGCTTGCTAGACAGCTGACAGATCAAGCCTAAATCCCTGGGAAAGTCCCCAGCAAACCTACTGGTCCACAACGTATATCCCTTTACTTCATATTGCGCTCCTAGAAACACTTAAAATTTGCCTGTCCCTTCCTCATTTTCTTATCTGTTAAAATGTCGCTTTCTCTTCTAAAGTGCATTTGATTTTCTCATAGTCAGCTGATGCATTGAAGTGTTTCCAAATACATTACTTGTATTACGTTTAGAGAATTAGTTTTATTATTTTTGTATATGTGTATGATTATACAACATCCGAAACTCTTCGTGACAAATACAATTGCATTTATATCTATATTTTTAGAGCACATGGAAGCAAATGTTCTCATTATTTGTTGAATGAGCAAGTTAATGAATGAATGATTCTGGAAAGGTCTGACGGAAAGGTCAACAGAAAATTACTGTTAGAAAAGCAATGAAAGCCAGAGAAACAATTCCAAACCATATTTAGAGCACCACTGAGGGTGCCTTAAAACTTCTCATACTGACCGATTGCTCCGTGAATCCACAGAATGATATACTTTTTATGAGGATGAGGAATCAAAAGGAAAATGATTTTGTTTTTATAGAACTCCAGTCAGTATGGCAATGCATATAAACTCACCTTACTTAAAAGTGGATAGTCACATTCTTTTATATAAACTCTTCCATAGATACAAGCTCTAAAGCGTTGCCATTAGATGTTTACCTCAGCTGTAACTAGTTACTGCTCTTCTCACATTGATGTAACCAAGCTGTTTCCTAAAGAAGACGTTCCCCAGTAATGATAACACCTCATGCTTCTAGAATCCTGTGAAACTGTCTTCAGACTGCTGATCTAACATCACTGATATGAGAAGGGCCTGTAAAAAGTTTCTAAGCAAGATAACCTTGAGTGGATGAATACTGTTAATTTTATTTCAGAGAAATCTGTTCATCGTAGCATTGCATAATAACAAACATGGTTTTAGATCCCGTGCCATTTCCACAGCCAGCTAACTATAGGAACACCTTTGCCAGATGTCTCTTCAGTTGCTGAAATGCTTTACATTCTTATGTAAATTATTTGGTAGGAGGCGTATTTGAATACTGTAACAATTTTTTGTTTGTTTTAGTTATATGTATGAAAATACGCATGCCATTTTATCTTTATTTTCTTCCTGCTTAGGGCATAATATCTTATCAGGACTATATCATTAAAAACCACATTTTTCTCTAAGAATTAATTTTTTAAAACCAGTACCAGATAATAGAAGAATATATTCTCAAACTCTGTCTTATTCAAACTTTGTAAAATCACATTAAGCAGTTGTTAGTTACCTGTTACAAAAAGCTTCATTGGCTTATGGGAGAAGGTCAAAGCTGAATGTCTGATCCTACGAGTGCATAAACTGACATGCTGATCCAGATTTCTTTGTCAGTTTCTGTCATACTGCTGTATTGTTATGTACTTGGTTCTATCAGGATGGAGCACAGTTCCTTCCTGTGATTTGAATGAGAGACCAAGCTCTTTCAAGAAAGAACGATTCTCTCATGGATTCTAAAATGTGGTTGTATGAGTAGCCTCCGTTTCTCTTTGTAATATAGATTGTATGTGGTCATGTCGGTTAATGACTCTGAAGCCATCCAGAAACATTTACTACGTTTAAGCTTTGTATCACTTTACCGTAAAAGGTCCAGGTTTGGGTTCTCTTATGGTTGTAAACACAGCTCTAAAATCAATTCACCCAAAAATATGGATCATAAGCCTGGCTGCAGCTGACGATTAAAAAAATGATCAACTGACAAGTAAAAAAATCCGGTGTATTTGCATTGGTCAGATAAACACATTCCTTCAGTTTCCTCAGGGCTGCCATGTAATTCACAGCAGTAAAGCTTGGAAAATTATGCCATTATTTACATGGATGTTACATGTCTTCGTCAAGCCCATCCTGTTACGTACGGTGCAAGACTGGACAAAGCCACTTTAAAAATTCCCTTATGTTACTTACAATGCCTAAGCGATTTCTCCTTTTTTTTTTTGTTTCCAGAATGAAGAACAAATTTTGGTATTTTGAGTTTGGCACCTCTGAAACATTCTCAGCCACCTGCAAGAAGCTACATGAATCTGTAGAAATAGAAGTAAGAAAAAATAATTCTATATTGTAGTGCTAAGAAATTGTTTGATTTTAATTGTGAAAATTGGTGATGTGCCCCATGGAATGTGTTATACCTTCAGCAGCCCACATAGATTTTCTCAAGATTATAGTCTGCCATTCCTTTCTTTTAATGGAGATAGAGGAGCATTATCTGAAACACTATTCAAGAATTGAAAGTATGTATGGGTTGTTTTAATCAGATAAAAGAATAAGGTGTGAAACACAACCTTGGAAACTAACAAAGGAGTTATTGGGCACACAGTAGAAAGATTTAAATGGAAAAAAAAAGTAGTTGGCAAAAAAGAAGAAGAAAAAGCTATGGTACATTAAAGAACTTGCTATTTTCAGGTATAACCTTTAAAACACAGTTCAGTAAAACTGTACTTACTTTCATGAATAAAAGTTTAAAATATATACTTTTCATTCCATTCCCATTCATTAAGTAGCTTTTCTCAGTTCCTAAGGTTGCCATTTCCAAGCAAAACATATAGGAAGTGAAAATGCCAAGAAAAAGAGCAAGGATAACAAGGAAAAGACACACTTTAAAAAGATTTGGAGCAAGTAGGTTTACCAAAAATATATAGACACAGTAGGACTCGAAACTGTGGAGACATGCTTTATATAAATCGCTTAGATATACTAAGACATACTAAAGGTTATAGGATAAGGGAAAAGTTATATTTTGAAAAATGATACAAGCAGAGTCAAAGGGAAACGAACCTCAGCGCCTAATGATTGCCCATTATGAACTGATTATGGCTGGCAAGACAACAGATTCTGAATGGTTGGAGTCATATAATCGAGCAGTAAGTTTGATAAACTGAAGTACTAACAGAATGTGCACGATCCCAATGATCCCAACGATCAGGCTCTTCATTACTCTCACGTTCTAACTGCTGTTACCCCTAACTTCAAGTGTTTCTCACAAACTCTAAGCCATGGGCACTAAGATAATACTGTCAGTCGCATTGCTGCTCATGCTGCAACCCTGGCCTTCTAGCTTGGCATCTGTGGCTTTTGCTAAAGGACCACTTGAGCAGAGTCTGTAAGTCACAGCCTGCACTGCATGCCTTGTCTGTGTGGTAGTGCCCGTCTGGATGAGTGTGTCTATAATTGATAACCCTTTGTGGGCACACTGCCCCTATGGGAGTGCCTGTCTGGGCTGGGGTGGGTGTGTCTGACTGATAACCCTCTGTGAGTACTGTCCCCATGGTAGTGCCTGTTTGGGGGTTGAGGGCAGTGCACATGGCTAGCTGAGCCGCCATGCTCACATTCTAATGAAGCCGGTCTATCATGTTAGCGAAATATGCCTTTCTACCCTCAAGGTTGCTTCTTAATTAAATATAAAATAGCAGCAATTCGGAAATTTGATTCGCCTTGCTGTTGCTTCCTATGTGGGCTGAAATTATGCTTTGAAACCAGGATTTAAGAAATATGTAACAGAAACTGAAACACTTCAGCATCAACAAACCTCAAAGCAGAGAATGTTTGTTTAATTAGCAGCTTCTTTCAAAACAAGGCACTGTCTGACTCTTCTTACCCTGCTTTTGTCTGTGTCTAAAGGGGGCAGATGTTTGTGGTGATGTAGATCTAATGGGACAATAGATGATAATGAGACGTTTGACACGTGGCAAGATGAGAATGAGACAATTCCTCTGTCAGTGACACTGGCTCCTGCTTGGTGCTGAGCACTGAGCATCCATTTGCTGAATCTTCATCCGAATCCCGTGTGTTACAGCAACACAGTTAGATTTCCACTACAGGGGCTCACAAACATTTTCTTTAATAGTTTAGGAAAAATAAGCACGCTGTTGCTGCCAGAATATTTAAAACTAAGGAACCAAATGGCTTGTATTTTATGAGGGTATTTCAAAAAGTTTATGGACAAGTGCAATTAAGACATAAGTTTAATCTGCTCAAGAAAGACTTGAAATCCATGCACGATATATATATTTTTTTGTAGCACACATTTCTCAGTACCCTTTTTTCAACCTGTTCTTAAATGCATAGATTACAAAATATACCAAAATGAACTTTGTAATTCCTCTCTTCCATGTATACTTTGAATTACTCTGCTTGGAGTGAGTGTGTTCACAGGAGATCAGCAATTTAGAGGATAGGAATGTCTAATTTCTTTTAAATATATTTATTTGAGAAGCAGAGAACAGAAAGAAGGCTTTGATCTACACGATTTATTCCACAAATGTCCACAAAACTTTTAGTCTGGGTCAGATCGAGGTCAGAGAGAGGGACTCAGTCCAGCAGAACAGGAAGCTGTAATTTAGAGCCCAAACCAGGACTCTAGCCTGGGTGATCCCATGTATCAGAAGGCTGTTCTAGCCAATGTCTTCATTTCAAGGCCAAGTGTTCACAGAATCTGTAATGTTAAGGACTTCAGTTAACTTCTAATTCAGTAAGTAAGAAGTGAAACAACGGACAACTGTTTAGTACAGCTGTCATGTTCATTGAGATACCTGTCCCATTGAGACACCTGTTCTAGGCACTGGTATGTTGGATTTGATTTTTGCCTCTACTTCTGAGTGTAGATTCCTGCTGGTGCAGACCTAGGAGATAGCACTGATAGCTTATGTAGTTGGGTTCCTGTAAACTCAGAGGGAAAACTGGATTGAGTTGCCACTCAGGTTACACACCTTAAAGGTGCAAGAAAATAGTTTAAAGCAAAGTTTATGACATATGGCAAAAGTTACATATGGAGTAGGGAGTATATATTTGCTACCTCCATGTACCATGCCAACATAGGAGAATAATAGCCTGTTCTCTAGATATTCCATTCTTTTAATTCTTGGTAAGACTGGAAAGAATGAATTTAGATTCAAGAATTTTCATTGCATAATACTGAGATAAGTCCAAATGATTAAGTGCCTCTCCAAATTCACATGATCTCAAGACTGACAAAAAGCAAGAGGAGCTTTAGGGGCCCAAACTAAGTTACAAGAATCCAAAACACAGGATTTCTAATGTGTAGTACCCCGGAAAAAAAGGAAGTCATTTTAGTAAAAAAATTGTTTTGAAAAGTGAGATTTATTTTGAATGAGGTTTAGAGAGGGGCTGAGCCTAGTCAAAGTCAGGAGCCAGAGGTGTCATCAGTTTCCCACATGGTCGGCAGAAATCAAGGCACTTGAGCCGCCTTCCACTTCTTTCCTAGGCATATTAATAGGGAGATGAATGTGAAGTGAGGCATTCAGGACTTGAACTCCTGTTTATATGGGATGCCTGTGTCGTAGCTGGTGGCTTCCCATCCAGTTCCCTGCTTGTTGCCTGGGAAGGCAATAGAGGCTGGCCCAAAGCCTTGAGTCCATGAACCCACAAGGGAGACCAGAGGAGGCTCCTGGCTCCTAATTTTAGATCAGCTCATTTCCAGTCATTGTGGCCTCTTGGGGAGTGAACCAGTGGATGGAAAATCTCTCTGTCTCGCCACTCTATAAATCTGATTTGCTTTTCCAAAAAAAAGTGAAATTAATCTTTTTTAAAAAAAGCACTAGGTTAGAGTGTCCTAGTGTTAGTCTTTACTACACATACCCTAACCCTAAAATTACCTGTAAGCAAAACTTCATGTTTCTTTCTTGGAGAAAAATATGAATCATTTTCAGCTGATAAAATTTTGCAGTTTAGCATTAGTTTATCTGTCATCAGATTTGTCAGTCCACGTTTAAAGATCCCCAAAGGTTGTCATCTCCAGCTAGAATGCACTGACAGAAACATCTGCCTCATCTTTTCTTGTAGGTGAATGTGGGCCAGGAGGAAGTAGGATTGTCCACTCTAAGCCAGTGGACAATGGTGTCACCGCCTTACACCTCAGCAACAGCTTCTGTACCCTGATAAGGACCTTTCAGTGCATGGTAAAACTAGCCAGAATTTATTGACTCAGGCTATTAGCTTTTAAGCTTTTATATTCTTTTCCTCTGTAACTACATTTTGAAAGGCCATAAATCCTCAAAGGGCATGAAAATACGATCTGACGTGGCTGTGTAACTAGAACTTGTCCATCTCCCTTCGTCTTCACTGTGTACCCACTGGTGGGTCGCTATTCATGGTCCCCATCAGAACTGGCCCCGAAGTTGTCCCTATTACTGGCTCACATTGAAGCCAGCAGAGGACAGTAGCCCCGGGTCAGGAGATGGTGGAGCAGCTGCGTGTAACTCTACCATCCTGTTCTTAAACGAGGCACAGTGTTCTTAAGGTTTTGTTTCAGCTGTTCCTCGGGGCTTGTTTTCATTATCTGATGGCCCCCAACTCTATTTCTGATAAATCCACGCGGGTAAGACTCTGAAGAGTCAAAGTATGAACAGAAATACTCATGGAAGCTTTTCCATCTTTTGCCGTTCCACTGGTTCCATTACCAAAGCAAAACAAAACAAAACAACACAATGAAGCAAAGCTTATTTGCAGCATGCTGTCCTTTTCTGTAGATGAACAAAGGACTCCTCCTTCACTAATTCTGTGAGTTACTTGTCACAGAGGGGGTCCAGGGCCTAGTCAAATAATTGTCTCCTTGTACTACCCGCTGTGTCCAATATTGAGTGAAAATGGAAACCTGGCCCCAGCTCCAGCTTCTTTCATGATCCTTCTGTTATTTAAATGATTTTAGTCAGTTTGGGGGAAGCCAGACCTTTATAAATTAACAGCAGGAAAATACCAAAGGTGTCAGATTGCATATTTATCATCTTTTTCGTGTAATACTTAAATATGTATTAAGAAGTGACTGACATAAATTAGGCAGATTTCAGAAGCCACAGGCCGTGGCTTGTGGAGGACCCCCTTCGGTTTGACATTTCATCCTTGTCAAAGATCAAATTATTTTAATTTAGGCTGCAAATTATAAGGAATGAAGACTTCTTTGTGGGAATTCCCTGTGGTAATCTGACTTTTGTTGTTACTGCTGCTTGTCAGTGTGCAAAAGATATAATATGCATGCAAATAAGGTTAAAAAATATGTACTATCTAATTATCCAGCTAGTGCGTCCCACTCGAAGCCGGTGGGAGGCCTGACACACAGTATGTGTTTGATTCTTTGAGGCCTGCAGGGTATTTACGCAAGATTACTTTTAATTATGAAATTAATATCTGTTTATCTAGAATATATACTGGTAAGTGAGTATACACAGGCACTGAATTCTTTAGTAAAAAGAAACCGTCTTAATACATGGAATGGAGTAAAAAAAAATCACTTGTTTCTGGGAAGAAGCAAAAGGCATCATCCAGGCATTGGTTTCATCCTCCTTGAAAACAATTGAATGAGAACTTGGCACTTTGCTTCAGATCCGTTCCCTCTCTTGCCAGATGGGCTCAAGGCGCATTGCTTTATCTCAACTCTCTTTTCTAGTGAACAAGATACGATGTTAGACGAGGCTTGACGGCATGAATGTGGTGGGGGGGGTATTATGTTTATCATTTTGATGTAGCTCTGTCTCCTAAATCCACGAATTAGGAATTGTTATGGGGAACGAAGGAGTTTATACCAGTGATGTTTATGCCTGTGAAAAGGCATGGCAAACGAGGCAGCCACCCTGCAGATAACTCTTCAATTCAGGAGAGGCAGATCCCAAACAAAGGTCTCTAAAAAGGCGAACGCCTTATGTATACATCTCTCTTCCTATTGACTTATGATCAAAATGAGAGAATGCTTTCTGGGATTTATTTATAACAACTGCCATTTTAGAAAACCTGAAGCCAATGAATAAATAAATAGTAATGGCAAAAGGACAGAATAGCCTTGCCAGTCTCCACACACGTCACTCAACAGAAATCCACAGAAAATTCAAAACTGTTGAAGTGACTCCTGCTGCTGTAGCCAGCCCTGTCGCTTAGCAAGGTGCGTGTTTTTCAAAACTGACCTGGGGCGAACAACAAACAAACGAATCGGGCTGATGAAGTGCTTGCTTGCTGTCTGTTTTTCAGCCAGTTGTCACAGGGGCTGTGAAGTAACATTTCGTTACAGATTCCTTAGCAGTTACCCCCATCATTTCCATCCCTCCACCTGCCCAGGCCCAGGCTCACTTCCACAGCTGTGCCCCTCACTGCCTGCACACCCTGCTTACAACTCCAAGGAGCTCTTCTGGACCTCCTTGACTTGCCATTTCTCTTAACCACTTTTTACAAAAGTCAAAGAAGTTTGTTATTTTCCCGCTCAAGAAAAAGAAAAATGAGAGCAGGAGTCATCAATTAGCTTCAATACTTTCCCCCATCATTGTCTGGACGAACAGCTGTCATTCCGTCTTCCAGGAACAACCTCTAGCATGCGCCCTGGGGCTTTGGCTTGATCATTTTGTGGACATGAATGCGCGTCTCTTCTAAAGGCTTTCCAGAGACAACGATAACACCAGTGATTTAATTTGAGATTTTAAGAGTAACTGGTTAATGTTAGCAGCTGCTTTATCTTTCATATTGACATTTGGAGTAGGCATCTAAGTGCCCTTGAAAAGTTTATTCAAAAATGACAGGGTTATGGATTTAAAAGCCTGTAATAAAAGATGAGGGGATTAAAAAGAAGAATCAAACAAAGGAAACCCAAACATCTTACATTCTCTTTCTTCTCCTTGGTCAGTGTGATGGGGTGCAGATAGATCTGATCAACATCTCCCTGGAAGGAATCGCTATTTTGAATATCCCAAGCATGCACGGGGGATCCAATCTTTGGGGAGAATCCAAGAAGAGAAGAAGCCATCGACGAACAGAGAAGAAAGGGTCTGACAAAAGGACCACACTCACCGATGCCAAAGAGCTCAAGTTTGCAAGTCAAGGTAAGCTCCTACCACTGCTGGCTGCTGGCCTTGGGAGCCAGCCTTAGTCAAGGTAAGCCCTTTCCACTGCTGGCTGCCGGCCTTGGGAGCTGGCCTTGGAAGGATGTGCTGCTGCTCTGCAGGAAGGCTTGTTCTTTTGAGGTTGCATCTTTCCTGTTATCAGCCACCTTGTGTAGGTAGTTTGGTATGGTAGACTCAGTGACTATATGTAACTACCTGTAGTTTTCAGGATGTTTGTTTTTTCTCTTGTGTTCTCCTTGGTATTACCTCTTCTCACGGAAAATAAAACGCCTGTTGGAACTTTAGCAAATAATGAAGTGGGATTTGTAAAAGATGTGGTGTTTCAGTTTCCCTAACAAGGGCAGATCCCAGATTTTCAAAAGTTGTATTCTAAGAGATTTCCTGCTTGTCTTGCTTTAGTCAGGCTATGACGTTGAAGCTGTCTTATATTAAGTTGTTGTTCTAAGTACCATATGTAAGCATAATATTTAAATATCAAATAGTGAGTTTTGATTATCTGCTGTAATTTTTCTAGAATACTGATAACAACAAGTAGGAGTAATAGGAAATGGAGAATAAAAGCCCAGCAGTATAGGACTGCACAGCTGTGGGTCTGCATGCACTCCAGTTCAATGGGATTCAGGGTAGGATGTGGCACCTTAGTTTTGTAGGTGTTCTTCTCAATCACAGAGATTCTATGGTCTAATAACATATTCATGTTGTCTGTTTACTGAGTTAACTGATACTATTGATGACATGAGAAAATGAAGAAAACATTGTATGTCAGCATAGTTCAATGAGAACAAAGTATGCTGACACCTTGGGTTGAAGGGTGCAGTATTAACTAACTCATCAATGGACCATGTGTGTCTGAGCACCAGTTTTGTGTCCTGGGTCTAGCACTTGAGTCCTGTGCTGGCATTAGGCAGTGCCATTTGGTATCATTTGAGGATGCAGAAGCTTGCAGGAGAAAGTGAACGCTGTCTTTCCTTTTCAGTTAATCGTGCAGCACTCTCTGCTTTGTCCACAAGCACTTGATGAAAGTGTGAACGCAAAACTTACTAGTGTGCCTTCGTAAACAATTATCAGAAGTTTCAGTAAAATTTTTACCACTGATTTTCTAACACTAAATAGTTTTTTTTTTCTCAGGATGGGGTCATGCAATAGGGAAATCATTTAATTAAGTCATGTATTCATACTTCTTTCAAGATAGGTTGTCAACAGCTCAAGGTCAGGTTGGGAGCACTGAACCCTCAGGCGTATGGAGCTGCACTGGTGAACAGGGTCTCTGCACAACTCATTTGGCTTCAGTTCTAGGCCGTCTCCTAAGATCAGAATGTTTTTAAATAATACTTTCATTGGTTGGCAGCTTTACTGTTGACTCAATCCAGACTTCAACAAATGTTACGTAATTCATTTAATTATATTATTGTTCCAGCAAGCATTCTAAAACAGTTTGATGCTGGTCTGAAGTATATGCGCACTTACCCAGCTAATTCAGAAGACGTTTTATTTTTGTGTAGGTGTGTGTGTTTGTTGATACAACTTTGTGTGTATACACAGCGTGGTCTTTAAACAGAGCTGTAAAGTAGGCCCATTGGTGTTCAGGGCTCCCAGCCGTGTTAGCTAACCTTCCCTGTGCCTTTAGTAGCATGAGTTTCATTCCCCTCCTCCTCAGTTGAATTAGCCTCAGAAAGATGTCTGACAAATTCATTACATTAATGTACAAATGACTGATTGCAGATGAAAGAAAAGATATTTGCGTTTAAAAGAGATAAAGGTCTTCAGCTGAAACATTTTTCAGGCTGTTCTGTTGAGTTATAACAGAAGTTCCTCAACAGTCCTGTGAAAACTTGATTCAATTTCATTTCTGTATTTTACAGCAATTTTTAAGAGTCTGTGATAAAAATATACTACGCTATGCTCTGCAGATAAATTCTGTCATAGTAACAGTTCTGAAATAATTAACTTATACTACCAGACAGGAATGGCTTCCCCTCTGTCTCGCTCTTCTACATAGATATTCATATCTCCACATGTAAATAAAGAAGTGAAAATGACACTAATCAGAAAGTCTGTGTGTCTACAAGGGTCATTTTGAAAAAAAATGTATCTTGGGATATTTAATAAAGAAAAAGGAACAAATGGAGACATGACTACAACAGAACACAGGAACAACCTGCAAAGTAAAAGTCAAGCAGAGTTTTCTTTGGCGTGAGTGTGGAACAGCACACATTAACAAGGGAAAGGAGACACAGGTCCTGGAGCAGGCGTTTGGCACAGCAGGTTGATATGCTGCCTCAGACACCTGCACCCCGAAATACATCGCCTGGTTTCAGGGTTCCAGTTCTCCCTTTGCAGGAGTGCCCAGGAAATTGGGATCCTTGGTCTGACCCAGGCTCAGCTCTTGTGAGCATCTAATAAATAGACAAATACAATAATAATATGAATATTTTAAGTTAAAATGCATATAAGATTTCGCAGATATTTTTGTTGCCAAAAAATTGGGTTAACTTACTCCCACAAATAATACCTTGATGTGAGTGTATACATCAGGCACATTTTAATGTTTTATTTATTTATTTATTTGTTTTTGCCAGAGATATCATTGCTGGCTGCTGCAAAACCAGGAATGAAATTAAAACATTCCAGGAATTTTAACAAAATAAATGTTTGACCAATTGAAACATTGGGTGAATATCTGTACCACAGATAACAAGTAACATCAGTAACATCATATCACAAGTTTTTATTGACCAAGGTGGAAAACTATGTTTAAAAAATTACCTCTGAAAACTATGCTGGCCAGCTAAAAAGCAAGAATGTCTCAGGGAATGTGAGCCGTTTTACTTATTCTAACTGGTTGAAAACACAGTGTGAATTGAGTGTCCTAGTAAAGCCCTCAGAATGGTTGGTGATGGCTAAATGGTAAAGGCTCATGTCCATTTAATACCCTCCTGTCCAGACCAGCATTGTATCAACACTGTGCAACTAAAAGCCACAACACAACACAACACAACACAACACAACACAACACAACACAAACCATCACTGGTAAGGCACTGTGATTTTTCTCATCAGGATGGCTCAGTTACTTTCAGAGCCTTACTGAAAGTCTTAGCAGTTTGAACTTCAAACATGCGTTTGTACAAATCATTTCCCCTTTATTCACTAGCTTTTAAAATATTGCTTCATTTGCAAAAAAACAAAAAGTTGTTGACTGCTTCACAAAGTTTCAAAAACCACTGAGCAAAAGTAATTGCATCCAAACCATAGCGTTTCAAGCATTTGCCAGAAGCTAAGGGAGATACTGCCAGGAGCAGCTGGACTTCCTGCTTGAAACCTCATTAACTAAAGAACTGTCTACCCTGCAGAAGGAGACAGCTAGCCAGGTACCCGTCACACACAAGTTTCCTTAAAAAATGATTAACATATTTGCTATCCAGGAAATGTTCAATGATTTCATTCACATTTACCAACACTAACTATTTTTCATTTGGACAGAATTTCCTAAAGCCCAACCAACACTCGCTGATGAAAAATGAGATGGATCAGTGTACGTAGGTAAATGTTATGAACGTTAATTGTTTTAGAGTTAACTACTCCACTTGTCCTCCCTTTGTAGCAAGACGTGCTGTTTGTCTTTATAGTAGGCATCTGGATCTTATTTTGAAAGTTAATTCATTTAAATAAGGATGGAGCTAAATAACTAATGGTTATACCAGAGGTACACAGAGATAGTAAAAATTAGAAATAAGCTTTAAGAAATCTGCATGGGGTTACATCACTTTGTCATATGTATTATAAAGTCACACATATGAAGACTTAGTGTAAGACTTACTAAACTTCTTGCATAAAATTCACTATAATTCCTTCCCACAGAGTAGAATTTTCTCCATAGTTTACAGAAAATATGTGCCCATCCCACACCACGTGACCCCAGGCTGTTTGTCTTTACTCTGTGCTACTGGAGAAGGCAGTAGCCCTGTTGCTTTGTGTTGGCCAGAGAGAAAAAAACTGCCTGATTGGCTGGCGGGCAAGTGGCTTCATGATTGTTAGTTAATTTTTTTAAGTGGGTAGTTCCTAAAAATTAAGAAGAAAGAAACCTAAAACAAGTTTGAACAAAGCTGCGCAGACACAATACATAATGATGTTTGGGAAAGCAAGGCAAAATTATTTTCTTTAGTCTGTGAGTAAGACTTGTGACTGCAGTGTCTTCATCTGTCTATCCTGCCTTTTTGCCTTCTGTCTCTACCGCTGTGTCTCGGGGTTCAGGCCTGCAGTAGGCCACAAAGCCACTGAGGGTGAAACAACGGTGTTGTTTGACCGTAAGAAGCACCCGAGACAAGCTGGTGAGGAATGTCCACTTTATTATGCACAGGTTACAGCTTTGAAAGGGTGAGAAACGGCCCACCAAAGACACTGTCATTGGCTGTATGACACATCTATTTCCCTTGACCTTCGAGTCATGTTCCAGGCATATTCCCCTTGACCTTCTGGCCATGGTGGAGGTCACACGCTATGTGTGGGCCTGGGAGTTGCACCTCAGGCCATGGGCAGGGAAGCTCTGAGTCACACCCACCAGGGAGCTGGGGATTGGCCACAACTGTGGGTTTCACAGTAGTAACTGATCAAATATTTTTAAAAAGTGAAATGAGAGTGTTAAGTTTTAGAAGAAGAAAATAATCTGTGTATACTAGATACTGCAGTATTCAAGGAGGAGCAAGGAGCACTGGCTTAATAAGATTGGACTTTATACCTTGTAAAAATCACTCTTTTCTGGAAGTAGATGACAATGGACATGTGACATCCTAATATTTCTGTGGGTTACTTAAGGTAATTTAGGAGGCAGTGTTTTCAGTTGTCTAAATATAAATGTGATATTCATTTTAGAACTGTCGATGATGTATTTGGCGTTCAAACATCGGCAAGCAGAACAGTTTTCAAGCATTTAAATTCAGTGATTAAATTATGTAAATTTAGAAACAAGAAAAAGATTT